TCCTGTATTAATAGAAAGTTCAAAAGAACAGTATTTATTTAAAATGTTTTTTGTAACAGTCTCTACTGTCACTTTTGATCAATTTAATGCATCCTAACTTAAAAGTTATTAATTTCCATATAAATTGTACTGATCCCAAAATTTTGAACAGTGGTGTACTTTAGAAGTGTTTAGAATTTGATTGTTATTAAAATAAGCACCGTAAAACCACATCAGTGGTTTAGCTGCTGTCTTATTTGTTATTTTCTTTTTTTATTGGGTTGTTGTTGTTAGCCAGAAACCTCTTTTTGTGTGGATCCACTAAAGGTGTTAAATCCTAGTTTCAGATGTCCAGAAGAAGATTTTAAAATGTATACATTTAAATCAATGCATCCTCTTTATTTTGTATTATTCTGTCCCCAGGCAAAGTTCCTCCCACACAGTGGTGACTCCACTTTGGCCATGTGTGCCCGAGATGGACAGATCAGAGTGGCTGAGCTTTCTGCCACACAACGTTGCAAGAACACCAAAAGAGTGGCTCAGCACAAAGGTGCAGCTCATAAGGTATGATCAGCCATAAAATTTTTTGTTTAATTGTATATTTAACAGAAATAATTTATGACAGACCCATTATTGAAAAATAATGATAACTCCATGGTGTTTCAAGTTGTGGCCATTGTATATTAATTTTCAAAAATTAATTGTTCTCAACTTGCTTGTTCCATGGTTACCTCAAACCAAACAGGTTTGAAATCTGTGACTAGTTGGAGCTTTACATGCATTCATTAATCAACAGCTTGGAAAATCTGAATCAAGCATTCAATCATGTCGTGGTGGAAAAAAACAAAGAACATTTTTTAAAATATAATATCACAACTGATATGTTTTATTTGTTTATTGCAAGATATAAAAAGAGTCACATGGGAATGCTTGTGATTAAATACTTTTTTCCCTCTCTCAGCTTGCACTGGAGCCAGACTCTCCCTGCTCTTTCCTCTCCGCTGGTGAAGATGCAGTAGTGTTCGGCATTGACCTGCGTTTAGACAGACCTGCCAAGTGAGTGCACAGTCATGTCACAAACAGCCCTAAGATTGCCGAAGGAAAAGTGACACAAGTGAGCAGGGGCAGGATTAGATATCCTACAAAGAATTGTGTCAGCAGCTAGATGAGTCAGTGGAAGCTTTTGTCACAGGTTATTATATGGCTTACTTAACAGTGGTACTTTTAACACCTCCAATACATAAGCTGTTGTTTTTATTTAATGTGGAAAATGCTGCTAATTGTTGCTTGTTTTATGGAAATGGCTTAATTATTATGCTTCATCAGAGAAGTGATGCTATAAAACTGTAGCATTTAATAACAAGATGATAAACCCAGCAGTTCAAAGTTTGGGGTC